AAAAATGAATTTCCCATTTTTCTTTATTATTCATGGCTTAATGTCACTAACTTTTTACAATTAAAACTGTGCCTATTTGTTAGATTATTGTGACAAAAGTGAACAATTAGGTTTTGAACAGAAGTGAATTGAGGCTGAATAGCGAGAAAGCATATAATCTAAAACAATATAGTAAGATTCAGACAAACAAATACGAATTCTAACTACTTTGTGGTATATTTTAAAGTCCACAGAAGTCCTACCTATACTCCTACTAAAATTTTTCCTTGGAAATAGAACTCTCTTCTAGGAAGTATGAGTATTTCCTCATTTGCTTAGTTAAATGATTCTTAGTCACCAGTCATAAGGAAATGAAACAGTAACACATGACCAGACAGTATCCTAGATAAGAAAAATTCCTAAACTTGAAAAATGGATCAGAAATTCTACTAACCCCTAAGACTCAAAACATACCTTAGAACACACATCTCTTACATTAAAAAGTTTATCAAGTGCCAAATACGACTTTACTATCCTAGTTTTGGAATAATCCTCTAATTTGGGAATATATTTTCATGGTCTAGTCACTTTCTTCCATTAATATTAAGCACATCCATACCTGCACGTGATGGACAACAGATTGGAGAGTTTGTGTAGGCATTCAGAAAGGAAGTGCCATGTGCTTTCATGAAGTTGATAAAAGGAAGTTTTACTACCTGACTTCCTGGGTAAAATGTTAATCTTCCATCCTGGAATAAAGAAAGTCAATCAACATTGATTGTATTACAAAAGAAGACACTTCTTAACTATAAAATTCATAATAGTGAAAGACCTCAATATAATTGTATGAAACAAAAAGGTTAAAAACCAAGTACAGAAGAATGTTATTGGCATGTAATGCATAAATTTCTAGAATTCAATGCAGTGTTGCACTTGGATTCATTTTAATATAGTAGGCTAAAGGACTTCTTGCATATTTTAAGAACTTTTATCACAATGTACCCCCAGTACAACAATATAATAAAAATGTATAAAAAGGACTTTTGGAAAGTTCTTTTGGGAACTGATGAACTAATTTAACATATTTAATTCTTAAATAAATAATTAAAATAACATACTGGGTATTTACTGTGCAAGATCTGAACATACAAAAGTGAATAAAACATAGCCCTGCCCCCAATGAAAACTTAGAGAGGCAAAAAGTATACTGGCAAATAAACCATGAATAGTCATAAGCTGTAATGAGTGCTCTGAAAACACTCTGAGATAGTGATTTTTATTGCTTTCTGAACCATGACTTAGTGTATTCAGCACCTCATTCTGCACCAGAGAGAACCAGAGAAGTTTAGAGCTCAATGTATCATCCTAATGAAAGAATGAAACAAAAGTTGTTTTATCTGTTGTGGCAAGAGTGTTTATAGTTCTCTTCAGATTTGACCGTCAGACATTGTCCTGCAACATACATTTCTGTCTCTACCTCTGACTTCTGAAACTTTGCTGAAACTAAAACCAATGCAGGTGCAGTGATGGGTGTGGGGGGTATGGAAGTAGGGATGCAGAGGATTCCTATGTCCTTTAAAGCTGAGACAGAGGTGCTTATTTTCTTTCTTTTTTAGAAATAAATTGATTTACATATAATTTAATTATCATACAACTCACTCATTTAAATGGCACAGTTCCATAATTTTTACTATAGTCAGAAAGTTGTGCGACCATCACTATAATCAACTTTTAGAACAGTCTCATCATTCTAAAAGAAACCCTGCATTCCTTAGCCAGCAAATTCGATTCCAATACCCCCAAATTCTAGGCAATCAGCACTCTTACTTTTTGTTTCTAATATATTTGCTTTCTCTGGATATTTCATATAAATGGGATCATATGAAATGTGGTCCTTTATGGCTAGCTTCTTTTACTTAGCATAAAGTTTTCTAGTGTTCAGCCATAATGTAGTATGCATCAACAGTGCATTTCTTTTTTTGCTACTGAATAATACTACTAAATTTTATTTATCCACTTGTCAGATGATGGACATTTGAGTTGTTTACACTTTTTAGGCATTAATATAATATTGCTATAAACATGCACATAGGAGTTTTTATGTGGGTGTATGTTTTCATTTTTCTTGGATGTATACCTTGGAGTAGATCTGCTAGATTATATGGTAAGTCTATGGTCAACCATTGGAGGAACTGTTTTCAAGGTGGCTGCATCATTTTACATTCCCAATAGCAGTATTTAAAGGTTCCAACTCCTCCATATTCTCACCAACACTAGTAATTACCTAGCTTATTTTATGTTATAGTATATGGAAGAATTTAAATACATATATTAGTCATAAAAATGAGTTTATTGTGACATTTTCATATATGTAGTTCATGTACTTTGATTATATTCACCCACATTACCCTATCTTCTTCTTCTCCCCTACTTCTCCCAGTACCAAATAATCCCACTCTTACTATCATGTCCTTTTGATCATAACCATCCTCATGAATCGGTGGCTCATTATGATTTGATTTGCATTTCCCCAATGATTAATGATGTTGAGCATCTTCTCATGTACTTATTGGCCATCTGTTTATCTTCTAAGAAGAAATGTTTATTCAGAGGTTCTACCCATTTTTAGTTGCCTAATCCTAATACAAAGATTTACACTTTTGTTTTCTTACAAGAGTTTTATAGTTTTAGCTTTTTCATTTGAGCCACTGATTCATTTTAAGTTAATTTTTGTATATGGTGAGTTCAACTTTATTTTTTTTGCATGCGGATATTCAGTTTTCCCAGCACCATTTATTTAAAAGGCCTTAACACCCTGTTAAAAACATATATATTATGATAAATATTCATATTTACCATAAATATGAGTTTATTTTGGACTCTCAAATCTATTCTGTTGATCTGCATATACCTATTGTTATGTCAGCAACACACTATCTTGATTATTGTAGCTTTGTCATAAATTTTCAAATTGGAAAGTATAAGTCTTCCAACTTTCTTCTTCTTTTTCAAGATATTTTTTGTTGTTTTATTCTGGGTACTTTCAATTTCTACATGAATTTCAGAATGAGTTTTTCTATTTTTGCAAAAATAAAGCCACAGGGAGTTGACAGGGATTACACTGAATCTGTAGATCAATTTGATGAATATTGCTATATTAACAAAATCAAATTTTCTGATTCAGGATGTCTTATCCTTTATTGATTTGTTCTTTGATTTCTTGATTTACTAGTATGATTTGTTCTTTGAACTTGATTTACTAGTATTTTGTGAGGATCTTTACTTCTATATTACTAAATGAAACTGGTCTTTAGTTTTCTATTTATTTTTCTTTTCTCTTTTGGCAGTGCTGGAGATCCATCCCAGGCTCTTGTACTGAGCTACACCCCCAGCCCATTGCCTCTAGTTTTCTTACTATTTATTTGTTTGGCTTTGGAATCAGGCACATACTGATCTTATAGAATAAGTTTCATTCCATCCTATTGTATTTTTGGAAGGGTTTATGAAGAATTAGTATTAACTTTTTAAATGTTTGGTGGAATTTACTAGTGAAGTCACCTGGGCCCGGGCTTTTGGGAGTGAGGAGTAGATTTTAAATTACCAACTCAATCTCTGTCATAGGTCTAGTCAGATTATCTATTTCTTCTTGAGTCAGTTTCAGTAGTTTGTGTCATTCTAGCAATTTATTTCATTTAAGCTGCCTAGTTTATTTTTGGACTGTCAAATCTATTCTGTTGATCTGCATATCTACCTATTGTTATGTCAGTAACACACTATCTTGATTATTGTAGCTTCGTCATAAATTTTGATGACAGTTGTCATATAAGGGAATATAAATACTCACTTATAATTCATTTATTTCTGTAAGGGAATGTCCCTTTTTCTTTCCTGATTTTGGCAATTCAGGGCTTTTGTCTTTGTTTCTTGGCAATGTAGCTAAAGATTTGTCAAATTTCTTGATCTTTTCAAAGAACCATCTTTTGGTTTCACGGTTTTCTCTATTTTTCCATTCTCTATTTGTTAGTTTCTGCTGTAATCCTTATTTCCTCCTTGTGCTTGCTTTGCAGAAGCTTCTCTGGTTGTCTTAGCTTGTCTCTCCTGTTATAGAGCCTTTGCCCTAATAGTAAGCTGGCACAAGGGCAATTGGGGTCTTGGTATGCTTAGCTTCCTGCACCTGGTATAGAGCCTCTGTCCTATCATGTGAAGTTAGTGGAGGTAGCCCAGACATCTCAGCTGCATTGAACTCGTATTTAATCTCTTCACCTTGGATTTGGAGGAGGTGAGAAATGCTAGCAACTGTCTCTTCTGATAAGATACAATAACTTGTGATTTAGAGCTAAGAGAAGGGGAGCCCTGTATTTTGGCCACATCTGTCTGGTGCAAAGCCTCTGTCAAGCAATGCCATGGTTCAGTGCCATGAACTGAATTTTAGATTTCTGAGTTTTAGTAGATCTTCTTGAATACATGTTTCTTTATTTAGTATATAATTTCCAGGTACTTTAAGGTTTTAGGTATTATTTAAGAGTTAAAAATAGTTTTTACTTATAGTTTTATAAAACAAGTTTTTACTAGTTTTGCTTATTCTGTAGGAGGGTGGGGTCTGTAGGCTGTTCACATTCTGAAAGTAAAAAAACTAATGTGCTATTTTCTTCCTACAGTTATTGGCTCAACTGCCCTATCTTATCTTGTAGAGTTTAAAAAATGACAATTCATACTGTCAAGATTCCAACTGTATACCAAACTGGTACAGTATGGCCATAGAGTAATTATTTCAAATTAGTTTAAGACATAGTGGTTGGACTGTACAGTTAAAAGTACACCTGAAACAAAAACTGTAAAGAAATTGTAAGCTGCATTCAGAACTATGGTTATCTGAAATAATATGACCATGTTATTTTTCATATGTATGTATATATTTTCTGGTAATCTTAAATTTGAATTGAAACTTATCAGTTAGAGGTTTTATGCTTCTAAAACTTTGCAGTGGACAGATCTAGAAATATATATATTTCAGAAAGAGGGGAATAAATTGTGAGCATATTGTTAGTTTCTACTCAAATTTTAGATTTTATATATATATACACACACACAACAATTTCTGGAGAGTATTAGGAAGTGGGTCAAATTATATAAACTAGCACATTTAAAGCAGCACCAACAGGCTTATCATGTGCCTAGATAATAAAAATAAACTTTCCTTACTTCTCACCTAAACATTAATTTCTGCAAATCTAGATGAACTGGCAAATGACTTTTGTAAAGTTATTTCGCTTTTATGAAGATGAAGAATACTATTTCTCCCACAACTGACTGAAGCCGGTATATGGTCTATATGCTTATTAGTAATGGTAAAATAATTTAGTGGATGGAGGTCAGCATTAAAAATAAAAGATTTCTGCTCTGTGCGATGGCACACGTCTGTAGTCTCTACTACTAGCAAGGCTGAGACCACAGGATCCCTTGAGCCCAAGTTCGAGGCCAGCCTGGGTAACAAAGCGAGCCCTCCGATCTTATTTTAAAAAGATGTGTAAAGATGCTATCAGAGTGCGTTTCATTTGCTGTTATACGCATTATGTATGCGGTGTAGGCGTGTGCATAGAGACCTTACAGTAAAACGTTATTTCTTACTTTACATCTGTGTCAAACGTGCCTGCAAGCATCTCAGACCCCGCTCCCCACAGCCTGCAACCTGCAGCCCAGGAGGTGAGCGGTGGGCGGTGGCGGGCCCCGGCGGCGTCCCCCCCAACCCCGCCTCGGTACTTACGAAGGAGTCGCTCACTACCAACACCACGTTAGGCGTCCCGGCTACTCCCCTCCTGTGATCCGCCGGGGGGGCCGGCGCCGCCAACGCGGAGGCTGAGACCACTGTCATCCACAGCAACAGCATCGCACGTAGCGGTTCCAATAGCCGGCCGCTGGGCCCGCCTTCTGGGGAACTCTTTCCAGCGGGGGCTGGGGCTGGGACAGCGAACTTCCAGTTGGGTTTCCATATACTGCAATTCAGCGCTTCATCCACGGAACTACAACTCCCATCAAGCCCAGGGGCGGCGCATGCGCAAAGGACTTCAACGCGTAAGACCTTTCAAACACCGACCGAAGCAAATCCCAGCCACTTCCAGTCACGTGAGCGACGCCCGGGAAGTGAGCTTGCGCTCCCCAGATTTGGTGTCTGTGGGGAAGTTTCGTCTGTCCCAGGTGGGTTCCGATTGCTGTCTCTTTTGCAGAAGTGAGAGGCTAAGGGCAGGTTAAAGAAATGATATTTCGAGAGAAAGAACGGGGCCCCTAGAATTTTCGTTTTGCGCGGAATAAGCGTGGCTTCATGTCGAAGTGGGCGATGATGAGGTGGCGGCGAATCTGTCACTTAAATTGGATGGGGCGGTTCCTCTGGGGTCTTTGGCTGCAACCTCAGGTGCGGCGCGGATTCCTCGGGGCGCGTCGCTGACTCTCCTGAAGGCAGTTTCCAGCCTGCCCCGTCTTCTTCTTTTTGCTCGCGCAGTGTGCATTGATCGCGCTCCGGTGCGATGTGGAGCCTGGCCTAGTAGGAAGTTTCGGGTTCTGGTCGGGGAAGAGCCTAGCTGGCTCTGGCTTTCAGCATGCAAAGGAGAAAAACCCAACAGGATCCAAAAGGAAGAAATGTTGGCCTGCGTGACGTCTGCAGTAATTGACGTAGGTTCAGAATACCATTCTGAACTTTTGATTGTTGAACTTCTTTGAAGAATTCTAGAAGCAGATTCCTGTCTCAAACCCAAATTCATTTCTTTATAGTTTCAGGTATATAATCACACGCCACACTAGTCATTTTAATATTTTGACAGGAAAAGGAGGAATTGTACCACTTATTTGAATAATCAACTTTTAACGTCAGTTTTTCAGTAGAATAATTATGAAAGACCTTAAGTATTTAATACATAGTGCTGTGTGCTGAGCATTATATTAAGCACTTACTGAACATTTATTGTGTGACAGGTATTTGGACATGGAATACTTTCTGTAATCATTACTTTGACCATTTTACAGAGTAAATTTCACTAAGTAGATAGGAAAGTGGGCTTGGAGAGGTCGAGTGACTTGCCCAAGGTTACAAGGTGTCTGTCTTAACAGGCCTAGACATTAAGCAGTCTGTGTCCGAACTCACTACTTTGTCTCCAGGTAATTCCACAATTTTATGACAATCTACTCAGCTTAACCTCTATTAGTGAGGCAGAATTGCTAATCAAGCATCATGCTAAGAATCTGTCGGAGCATGAAAAAATATAAACAGTAGTCTTTGTCCCCAAGGAGCTTACACTCCAGGGAAACAAAACCTAACATACATAAAATAATACTGCAGTAGGAAAGATAATACAAGTAGACTTTCTTATGAGCAAGATATAGTTCCAAAAATTGTCTTGAGTTCGTTGGAATGTAGGACATACTGCACCATAAAAGCAGTATCAAGTGGCGTTTGGATTCATAATTTTTTCCCCCATGGCATGGTACTGGTTCTGTGAGCTGTGTTTACTCTCTATGGCTTTTTTTTCTCCAGGCCCTTATTCTAATGACAGGATGACAACCACACACCTTTTTCTTCCTCTCTCTCCTTCAGCAGTGGTGGTGACACGAGGTGCTGCAAGATAGATTTTTAAGACCCCAGAGACAAAGGGCTGGAAGAGGCTTCTAGTCTTGTTTTCCATCTGACATTCAATTTGTCCTTTCACATTCCTGCCAAGTGGATTGTCCAGCCTGTGCCTTTTCATCTCCACTGATGGGAAGCACACTTCCTTTGAGCTGAATTCAGTCTTCCTCTAGTCTTAACCATTCATTAATTATTCCTCACTTTTTCATGGGTAATCTCTCCCTTTGAACAATTCTTACCCCCCATTATCTTTTTTCACAGCCGTTCCCTAATTTCTTCAGCTAGTTATTACATAATTTAAAGTTTTCTTCATTGTTTTGATCACTGTCTTCTGATCATACAGTATTTTTGCTAATCACTATCTTGTCAGAAAAGGTACTTTTGTGTGTGCACATGTATATGTATTTATGTCACAGTGAGGGTAGGAACTCTGTGTTAGTCTGCCATACAAAATACCACAGACTAGGTGGCTTAAACAACAAAAATGTATTTTCTCATAATTCTGGAGTTTAAAAGTCCAAGATCAAGGTGTTTGCAGGTTTGGTGTTTTCTGAGACCTTCCTTGACTTGAAGATGGCCACCTTCTCAGTGTCTGTTCACTTGGTCTCTGAAGTACAGGGGTTAGAGCGTCAATATGTGAATACTGTGGCAATACAGTCCATAACGGACTCCATTATGTACATGCATGTTTAAGTCGTCACTTAAAGATTTTTAGGTTAGGTATTGCTTACTTTAGTAAAATACTCCACTGTTTAGAAGTGTTTTCAATTGGAGAGTCTTGGTCTAGCTTTTGATTCTCTGAGTTTTTTTTTTAATGTCTTAGTATCAAGTATCAATAGTACCATTTGCTAGTAGTTCCCAACGGACTTCTAGTTAAATTTAGGGAGGCACGTAAGTACACACATTTGTAGGTCTAATAACAATACAAAAGGTATCAAACGTATAGGTAATTATTGAGTAAACAAATAAAAACCCTAATATACCAAATTGTATTTTGGAGAATGTTAGTGTTTTCAAAACATTGTTTTTTACTGAAAGAAACGTTCAGTTATTGCAGAAGTTTCAGAATTGCTGGGTTAAACTCTCTTTGAGTATTTATGACTTCTCAGAAGCTTTAAAATGCTAATATACAGTGTGACTTTGAAAGTGAGATGCATTGTGAATGGTGGTCACACACTTAGACCATTTATTAGCATCTATTAACATTCTACCACTGTTCCTTAGAATGCATTCTTGGAAATGCTAGGTAGGTAATAAATGTTCCACGCTCAACTAGTGTGAAATTGGTGTGGGATGGCTAAATGCTTGACACTTGAGCTTGGTGTTGAGTTCTGTGTAGTGTGAGAATAAGCAGAAGTGATAGTGAACAGGCTGAATGGGAGAAGCAAAGATATACAGGTAGGAAATTCTGGAGGATTATCAAAAAAGTAATGTGAGCTAATATTGAAATATTAACATGCCTTTTGGTAGTAGGCTTTAGAAGCTAAAAGATCATCAGCCATTTATTGTGCATGTATCACTTGATAGGTATTGAATATATAAGGAACTCTGAAGATGTAGGACTTATATTAGGGATTAATTGGATATATCTCTATAGAATAGTAATTTAAAAACCTGTTAAGCTTCAGTCCAGTAGCTTAGTTACTAAGTTACTTTGCATTTGCATACATGAGTACACATTTTTTTCCACTGTATTCATCCTCTTTCCCCGTCACCTCCCCTCTCCCAGTAACTTACTTCTTGAGAGAGCAAGGAAGAAGATTGTAGAGGGGTTAGGTTTCAAATGTGTATAGAAATTTGCAATGACCCCTGAGTTGTTATCACAATAATGGTTTTGGGAATATCAGGAAAGTAGTAAATGAAGTTAATTAAGAGGGTAGCAGTAGATAAAGAGAATAAGAATTAATATACATTGTGTTTAGGGCATTAGATCTACATACATATCAGGTAATAATCCTCATCTTACTCATGAGAGTAGAGCTTGGAATGGTGAAGGAAGATTGTTTAAGGTTGAATAGGGCTAAACTTGGATCCATTTTTGTCTCCTAGTCATTCTCAACCAGTCTTGGTGGTGAAATATGGTAGACTGAAAGGGTTGACAGAATCTGGAGTACTTTATAAGAACAAAGTTGAAGTGATGATAGAGTAAAATCACGTTGAGTGTGAAGGGCAATCAAGTGATGTTGAATAGGGGTTAAAGGAACCAGTAAGCTCCCTGTATATTCTGATTATCAGTCCCTTGTCAGATATATAGCTAGAAAAATTTTTTTCCCACTCTTCAATATAATCCCTTTTTATGTGACTATCTCATTTTTTTTTTTAAACTTAGATGGAAAACGAGTAGGGAACAATCTGAAATTCAGTTCAGGAAGAAGACAGAAGTAGTGGTAATAGGTAAAAGGTAAGTATCTAGAATGTTAAATAATAAGCAATTGGAATCTATTCTTACTTAACTATTGTTACCAGTTCCTTTTAGAAGAATGGCCACCATAAAGTACCTTTAGACTTTTGTTTTTAGATTTAAAGATACTATTTTTCTTTCTATAATTAACTTGCATTGTCATTATCACTTCTATTTATTGTTATTATTACTATTATTATTTATCTTGTGGAATCTGGTATGAGCATAACCAAAAATAGCTGAAGGTCACAGCTTATAGTGTCAGCTGGGAATTTGAGGACAATTCATTTACCTATAGTTGGTAGCTTTGAGGGAGAACATTGCCTTTTTATGTGATTGTCATATTCTAGCTCTTTTAAGATATAGCTGTTGCTATACTTTAAAACTTATTTACGTTGAGTAGAAACTTTGTAAGTTGGAAGTAAGAAAATTTTTATTGCATGAAAATATGCAAAAATAGATGCCCTTATTTGAAAACTTAGTGTAGAGTAAGGAGAAATGATGAGAAGAGAGATAATATGAAAAAAGTGTTTATAGAGTTGTTGAAGACACTTGCAAGAGATCTAGATCTTCTTTTGAAGTGTTGGAAATACTTAGAGGGAAATATCCCAAATGGAGAAATAAAATGTTACATGGAATTATTTTTGGTAGTAGGTTTTTTTTTTTTTACTTTGTAAAAGGAAATGGATCTGCATGTTACCTAGTAGATGGTTAGTTCTCAGTAAAGGTTTGATTAAAAATTAGTTATTGGGAAACTCCCTCCAAAAAAAAATGTGGAGTAGTTTTTAGGAGTAGAAATGAGCAGATTATTTTGTGCTTTGAAATTTATATACATACGTATATATATTACATGTTAGAAGAGGAGAGAAGCCTCAGTGCTAATATACTAAGCTAATTGAAGAAGGAATAGGAAGAGAATAGAGTATTACACTGCAGTGTAAGGACTCATAATTACATGTGAAGACATGTAGATGTGGAAGGATATTGGATGCTAGAATTGATTGTCAAGAGAAAATGCAGTTTGTTTCTAGTGGTCTTTAAAAAAATTACTTACTTTTAAAGTTTTTAACAGTTTCTTGTTTGTTTGTATATTGAAGTCCAAACTTGTTTAGGTTCTGATTTTTATATTCAACCTAATTTTCTTCTGTTCTTTGGTAAGTGTCTTTTGATTCATTGATCCCAGTTTTCTCATTGTTTCTTATACTTGGAATACTCATTTCTGTCTCTCTCTCTTTGTGAATACAATTGTCTCTGACTGGGAATAATTTTCTTCCTTCCATTCTCAAGTTCTTTTTCTCCTTCTAATAACTACTAATTATTTTACATAGTACATCTCTTATTTTCTGAAATCCTACTGCACCTCTATTTATTATCCTTTTTGGCATTTGGTTCTGTAATGACTTATATGTCTTTGGTCTTTTTCTTGATTTATATTTTATTCTTTAGGGCAGGGACCTTCTTTTCTATTTCTTTTATGTCATGTACAGTTAAAAGCTTGGGGATTATATGTAGTTTTAATGCTGATGGGTTCTACCTTGTACATAAATGCTTCCACTTAAGTACTGGGTGGTAAAAGAGATGGTGATTTTTGTTCTGAAAAGATCTGTTATCTTCATTTATTTTGTCTTATTTTGAAACTTTTTATTCTTTTTGAACTTGGGTATCTCTTGATTTTTTTACTTGAATGTCTCTTTTGTTTGTATTAGTTGTCATTATCATTGATGTTTTCTTTTTAGTCTACAGGTTAGTTTGCCAAAGGAATTTGGTTTCAGAAAATTTAATGTGAAATCAGCATTGAAATTTGTTATCTGCTGCTGTCAAGATTTATAGACTACAGAAGATTCTTCTCATGTTTTCACTTATAAATTAATACCAAGATAATTTCAAGTAAGACAGTATTTGTAAGATAAGAGCCTATGAAATATGTTGCTTTAAGTTATATAATTATTGTAAGTAGGTATAAAATTACTTTTCCGCCTTTTGGGGGAATCTGACCTGTCTATAGATACATTGATTTTATAATATAATTTTCATATTATTTTGAATGCTGACATTCTTTAAGTCAAAAATACTGTTTTTTGTTTTGGGTTTTTTAAAAATCTCTGACTTCACAATTTTCTTTGATTTTATACTCATGAATCATCCTATTCTTTGGATATTAATTACTGTCAGTGTACCATGTTAGTGACCCATCATTTTGCAGGCTTGAGCATCTGCAGTCTATAAAACTACTTAATATTTATTTGACTTTTTATCTTCCTGATGAGATTAGAGATAAATGGAGTTGGCAAGAATACAAAGAAAACACAAAGGATTCTCTTTTTCTGATATTGAATTGTGACTGACTTTGAGTCATTTACTGGTAAACCAGAGTAAGTTTTGAAATCCAACAACCCCTCCCTCCCTCATACTAAGGATTGAACCCAGGGCTTCACAATGTGTGCTCTACCACTTGAGCCGTGCACCCACCCCCAGCCCAAATATTTAGGGGATCATGATTTGTTGAGAGTAGATGTCCCAGGTCACATGATTCCTTTTTTTTGAGATATTGGGGATTGAACCCAGAGTCTTAAACTTATTAGGTAAATGCTCTAACACTTGAGCCATGACTCCAATGTACATTGTGAAGTCTTAAGATAGGCTAATATATTTAAAATTAAATTAACATATGTAAGAATTAAATGAATAAGTACTTTGTCTACAATGTGAAGTAACTTTTTGTGGTTGAAATTAGTGGATATTCATCAGGATTCCATTCAAGTGTAAACGCTGTGTTTATTTCTCTGTATAGGAAGTAATAATCTTATAGTAATCTTCACTGTGAAGACAGTTAATATTCTGATTTATATTTTACAGAAATTAGCATTAAGCAATGCTTTCCTAAGCTTTAAAGTCCCCATCATAGTTACTGAAATTATTTTTATATTGTTTTTCTCTGTGTCTTGGGATTATTCTGTTGCATCTTGCTTATAAACTGGATTGATAGTTTGTGTCCTGACCCATAAGATCATCTGTGTTTTAGCTAAATATGTGGAGAGAGAGTATAATTCAATTTTAACACACATTTGTTGATAATCTACAATTTGTCAGACACTAGGTTTTGAGTATAAGGCAGAAAACAAAACAAAAATCAAAAATCCTGCCTGCATGGAACTTACATTCTGGTGGTGTTGTGGTACAAATAAAAAATAAGATAAATAAGTAGAATATATAATTTATGGGGTGTGGTAAGTGCTTTGAAGTAAAATAAAACTAGGGAAGGGTGTAAGGGAATATGGTGTGGTTGAGATGAAAGGATTAAAATCTCAAAATAGTGGGTCCTGGGAAGGGTTCACTTGAGGATGTGACATTTGACTGAAAATATGAAGAGATGAGGGAATGAAGTGTGTATAGAGTAGGGGGAAAGGACATTCCAGATAAAAGGAATCACAGGTGTCTTTTCAGATGGTTAAGTTTGTTGGAACTCTTACAGTTAGGTAAATATTATTGCAGATTCACTTGAGCTTTTGCCTTGACAGAATGTCTAACAAAGAAGTGAAGACTGCTTTAAAAAGTGCAAGAGATGCAATCAGAAACAAAGAATACAAAGAAGCTTTGAAACATTGTAAGGTAACCAATATCTGTTTCTTCTATAATAAAGTGTGTTACTCATTTATTAGTATTATTGTAAAATGTGAATCATTCTCCAAATACAACAAAAGTGGTAAGACCATTTAGGTCCTTATTAGTAGGATAAGTTATGTTTGCCACAGTTAGTTCTGTGTTTTTCTTTATTGGTAAATTATCAAGGTCAAATTCTGAATACCTGAGTGTATCAAGTATCTTTTGATGGGTTGTATAATGGAACGCTACTTTATCTTGAAGGTTTTATTCTTTAATGGTATGTTGACGTTCTACTTCTATTTGCTTTATAGATAGGAGAGAATCAGGATTCTAAAGCTGAGGGGAATGTTCCTAACAGAGGGAAAAATTGAATGCAGGTGAGAGATAGGGTAGTGGTAGAAGTGAAGGCTTTGGAAAAGTGAAAGAGGATGGCATCCAGAGCTGGAGAGGAGGGCCTTAACCCTTTTTCCATCTTAACAGTAGAAAAAAATAAGTGCAGATTCATAGTGTTTGGTTTATAGACTTGGCGGTGAGAAGATAGCACATTCTTTTTTGATAGCTTCTGTCTTTTTGGTGAACTGATAGTGGGAGATAAATTATATAGGAGGTTTGAGACAAAAGAAGATTTGAAGTACTTGTTATTCATAGTGAGAAAACAAACATACTAGGAAGAGTTGGGAGGATTACTAGGCTCTAATTAGGGCCCATTTGAAGTTTTATGTTATTAAAGTGAACTTAGTGAACTCAACTGTAGTTTTCTCCCTTCATATTCAGCTTCTCAAGTTTTGATATGGGAGTGATGGAGTTCAAGTCTGGATTATAAAGCTGATGAAAGAGAGAGAGAGAGAGAGAAAAGAGTTAAGGATGTGATGGCAAGGGTCATGATCTTAAGCTGGATGAAGGAATGAGAAATAAGAAGTAGAATGATAAGTAGTGGAAAAGGGCACTGAGGTCAAAATTGTAGGTAGCAGAAGCTTAATTAAGATTGTTGCCATGAGACCATTCTAGTAGTTGAACTGGGAGAATAGGAGAAGAGCACAATAGTGACATGCTGGAAGTCCAGTTTTGGGTGGCTGAGTAGTGTGGAGGTTTAAGTAACTGAGAGGCTACAGTGTTCAATGGGACATCACCATGAATGTTACAGGAATGAACACAGGAATTGAGGTGGAGAAGAACAATACAAAATTTTCACTGAAGAAGAGTTCCTAGCAGATTGGTAGATTGTATCAATAAGGATATTTTTAGTAGTGTAGTCTGATTGCCTCAGCTTCAAAAGTAGTGGCGTTTTTGAAGGAAGGAGGTATAGAAGAGCAATGTTGATTATAATGTGAGCCAGGAGAGCAATGTTGATTATAATGTGAGCAAGGAGAAGCCCTTCCTCACCTTCTGGCTCTGTGGCATGTGGGATATAAGAGAAAGAAGATGGCTGTAGCATGTCAGATCTTTAGGATAAAAGCCAAAGGTATGAAATAATGAGGGAGTGTGGCTGATTCAGGTTGGAAGTACCAAAGGGCACAGGGAAGAATTTAGGAGAGTCGTTTAAGAGAGAATTTGGCAAGATCAGGAGAAATACACAATAATATGAGGATGAAAATCTAAAGGGTAAAGAAGCCTAACCCTTGTGAGGTTTAGGTTTCTGGTGGTGACTGAGGCCAGCAGGGATAAGATGCCATGATAGTAGTAATTGTGGTATAGAAGGTGAGCAGTCCGTTCAAGCTGGGGGCAGGGTGCAGGTGGAGTAAAAGAAGGAGAGAAGACTATTT